CCTCAAGCATAGAGCTACAGAGTATTGGCTCTGGCTCTTTCCTAGCTTTAATAGTCCTTTGTCTTTGTACAAAGCATTCCTAGCTAGCTATGTAGTAAGTAAGTATAATATTTTCCTTTTATCTCTTCAGGTTTTCTCCTAGTCTTTTCCTTTATACTTCTTGCTCTGAACACTATACTCTTTCCAGATCCTCTCTCTATACAAGCATTCTAAATGACTTGTCTTTGGTTAAGGTTATCAAGTAATGCTGTGCTAGAGTATGTGTTTAACCTTAGAGAGATAAAGACCTTGTCCTCAGGTTTTGTTACCTTTTCCTAACTGACTTAGTACCTACTCCTTCCTGTCCTCTCTCTCTGCTGATGGATTGATCACCCATTAGTAATGATTAGAGGTTAATAATGCTGAGCTAGAGTTCTTACTAAGTAGAACAACAAAGGTAGCCTAGTTGATCTGGCCAATCTCTAGACTTGTAACCAATAGGGTTTTGTATATAAACTACTCAGTCCCAAGTCTTGAGTTAAGCTTTTCCAAACTTAGTTACTGTATTTTACAATTCCTAATATACTCAGGATGTGTTAGAAACAATCTATTAACAAACATAATGTTAATAAGTTAATATATAAATATAAATGATAATGTAAACTGAACAAACAGACAATACATTCATACATATATAATACACCTAGATACATAGTAAGCTGCCTACAGTCAGATATAATATTTATGTAACAAATATATGTTAGTATAAAACCTTATTAATCTCAGAATAAAGTAATCTGGCAAAAACAAATATTATTATTAATATTACAATATATGATTAATGTAAAGCTTCAATCTGAAGACATAAATCAGCTATTACTGAATACTTAATACATATACAAACATAGACAAATGTAGACAGTAATGATTAAAGAAGGATATTATTACAACATCAAATATACATTTTACTAGTATGATTCATTAGTTTCACAGTAAAGTAAAAGGAAATTACTAGAGTACTCAAACAAACTTAATAATAAACAATATGATTGAATAACAAATGATAAAACAAAACAAGCAATTACATTTATGATTTAAATATACACATATATATACTTATGTATGCTAACAAGATTCTACAGGTCTCTAAAGCATTTACAAATTATTTAATAACATTTACAAACAATTGATTATAATAACAATACTGTTATTACTGCCTTTTTCATAAGTATTGTCACACTTGATGATTCATCCTTTTTTGTCACAAAAGTAAACAAAACAAACAAATAACTATTTCTTACTCAATTCTGTACAGAATTCAGTGATTATTTGACATAAATTCATGTTTTTTAAATATGCTTCAAATAGAGACTTTACTGCCTTTTTCATAAGTATTGTCACACTTGATGATTCATCATTTTTTGTCACAAAAGTAAACAAAACAAAAAATAGCTATTTCTCACTCAATTCTGCACAGAATTCAGTGATTATTTGACGTAAATTCATGTTGTTTAAATATGCTTCAAATAGACACTTTAATTA